TTTTCTTTGGCTGCTTCTTTGCTAAATTGGAGTTTGATATCTCTGGTTGATCTGTTAGCCTTTCTTTTCATTCAATATGCAGCTCTAAAAATGGGTAAACCATCTACACTACTTTATTTCTATATTCTATTGTTAATCATGACTTTTTTTCTCGCAAAGAATGTTTCACAAAGGTTTCTTTCTTCCTTTTTTGAGACTATTTAAGTCTTATTGTTTGTGGGAAATAAAGGTTTCTGCTTGCACGTGAAAGGCGAGAAAAACAAGCCTGAGTTGTTAGTGTTATTTGAATTGGGATTTGAATTAGGAATTCATTTCTAGAAGTAACTATGTTCCTTAAAAGTTTATAAGTAACCACAGTTAGCATGGCAATTGCCAATTAGTCCAACTTATCTTTCTTTATGCCATGCATTCTCTATTCATTTGGACTTTTTCATTTCAATAATGTCAACAGTTGGAATAGTTCATATGAAAGAAATAGTGAGTCATATTCTTGAATAGATTCCTTTAACCATCTGATTAGTTCTTAAGTGCATTTTGATTTATGACATAAATGACTAACAAAAGAGCAAAGATAGTTGTTTGAAAGGATTTTTAGCATAAGCAATGGAGTTTTATTTTATTTCTTCTAGTTGAGGCTTATTCCCCCTCTGATTGAGTATCACTTTTATTCTCCAAGACTAGAATTTCTGACTAGAATTTCTTAGTAAGTATTTTTTGTGTGTGATAGGTTTTCGGTTCTAGAGGCAATCTCTATTATCACGGTATACCCTTATTTTTCCCTCGCTAACTATTTTATTGCATGCCATAGTTTACATTTTTTAGGTTGTGAAAGGAGACCAATGGAGCATTTTTTATGCTCTATGGGCAAAAGTAATAGGTTTGCTAAGATAAAATCTAATGCATGAAGCATGCTTTTTGTTTTCCTTTGTCTATAATTTGCACATTAAAATGGGATCATGTTGCAGAGATCAGTTTTGGAGTTTTCCATCTGTGATGTATTTCTTGGTGGTACAAGCACTAGCAGCTTTAGTTGTTTTATTTGAAATCTGCAATAGTAGATTTGGCATGGATCCAAAGAGAGATTCTTTTTGGGGACATCTATATTCCTTCATATCGTCTTTAAGTGTTTGAAGTTTATTGTATATCTACTTAAAAAAATTGTAAATATTTGCACTTTATTGATATAATTTTCCTTTTTTTTTTTAAACCATTCTAAGGTCAAACTTATGAAATAATTTGAAACTTTGACTTTAATTTGATGCAATTATTTTTACTGTTATTTTTCATTTCAATAGTTAACAACTTTATTAATATGATTAAAACAGACCTGCAGTATTGTGTGGATCTTCTCTGTAGTTATTATTAAAAAAAAGTAGATTTGATGCATGAATCCAATAAAAATGAATTTAAAAAATAAATAAATAAAAAAAATGAAATCATATAATCCTTCTTGAGAGTAAAGTAAGAATATAAAAATTTTTCATTAAAGATATGTTATTAAAATTAGCAAAAATAAGTTTTAAATTATAATTTTGTCTAAAAACTCAATTTTACTTCTTAAATAAGCTAAAATTCTTAAAAGTTTTAAAGTCAAACACCTGATTTCTGTTTTTACAATAAATAAACGTACTCTTCTGTAAATCAGACCAAATGCCTTCTTAGACGGTTTCTTTTTTGAAAAAATGTTTGCTTGTTTGTATGCTAGTAAATGGTAATTGGAATGGTGAAGAATATTGGAATCGAGCCCTTTTGCCTTTGGTGGTAGGCACCAAAATTAAATGTTCATGGATACCCAAGAAGGATTCCTCTCCATTATTCACCATATATACTTGGAAGTAAATTATGCATTTTCTTAATTACGCGTTCAATTAGCAAGCCAGAAAAGATGGGAAGTATATAGTTCATTTTATTCTTTGCAAGTGGACATTAATAATCTAAATGCACAATGAATGCTATGGCTTTGAAGTTAGGTCATTGTTTCTTATCCATAACCTTACAAAAGTTGGGGTATAGTGAGGTTCCTCTACGCTATTAATAAGGAATTCCCTAGCATTCAAATCCCTTAAATATAAATTTTAATATTTGATGGGCTTGCCTAATAAATTGTGGGCGGCTATTATAGGATAATTAAAATTTGTGTGAATTAGCATTGAATTTGGTTGCTTTTTGTCATTTAAGCTTAGAAATTCATACGAAATGGAATTATCAGCCTGGAGTCATTTCATACAGTTTCCAAGCATAAAAAATGTGGTTGAAAAGTTTGAAGATAAGGAATAGTTCGATTTTAAGTCTCCCCACAAAAACTAGTGGTGATTATTGTAATTCAATTATTTATATGGATCTGTCACTTCAGTCCGAATAGGACCAGGCATAACATCCCACATTCTGCTGGATGTATATGGCTGCTGATGCAAAATGAGGCCACAATGATCGATATTATATTATTATATATTGCACATGAATTTTGAGTATTTTTGTTTTCATTGATCAATTGATTCTTTTCCCAAAGGTTTGCTTTGATCTGCGTTTGTTCATCAGACTTATTTTGGACCTTCTATCCAGTTTGCCTAACTTTCAAACGAAGGTTAAGTATACATCAAAATCAAATACCGTCAGCTCTTATTAAGCTGTATATGTAATATTAAGAAAAAGTACGTTTCTGTTAAGCCTATTTGAAGAAATGAATTCAAATATAAGGTGCCATTAGTTCAACCTACCCAGGTTCTGGATCAACTTTGCAGGTTGATTTTTTTTTTTTTTTAATATTTGAACTGTGATTTAAGTTTAAATTAAAAAAGGTTAGTCATAAAATAGGTTTCAGTATTATTAAATTAATAGCTCATTCATCTCCAATTGATACTTTTAATCACTTCACTTACCAAACCTTAAATAAAAACCTAAAAATTCAATTGACCGTTATTAGTCCGATGGCTTGAATATTAACCAATACCCACCCTGATACTTAACAGGGCAAAGATATTTATGAATAGTTTTAAAAAGTCATGCGGATGTCAAGCAAATGAAACTAGTTTTTATAAATAAAAAAAGTTGATTCATTCATTTGGGAATACATCAAATCCATTATAAATTTACTAAACGATTTGGATTGCTTGTAAAATTAATAGATGTTCAAACTGTTATTTCCACTTGATTTTCATCTCCTAGGAAGTTTGTTGGCAATATTTGCTTGAAGTCAAAGCAGCTGCCCCAAACCCGAGAGAGTTTCTTTCATTAAATGTGTAATTGCGAGCGTGGCACATAATTAGACCATAAGATGAAGTGGATCAATATGGTTGTTGCCTTTTCTAGGCCATCCCTGCATGCAGGCTTTTCGTACGAAAATGGAGAGAGTTAACCAAACGCTGACATGGAAATGCTTTGTATGAGCAAGAACCGGGGAATCGTTCAGGATCAAGCCATAACAATTATGATTTTTCCTGCCACCTTCTTTTGTCAACTTGTGTTTTTTTTAATTGAATCCCCGAGAGCTTGGTCAATAATAATGATAACCCTAAAGCACAAAGCATATTCTTGGCTATGAATATGGGAATGGTGGCTTCTGGAATTGGACCTCCAAAACATTGAACCGTTCCAAAATGGGTGAAGGACTTGGTCACTGGTCAGCTTGGATGGTCAGTTTTGGCCATTTTTTGCATGCGAAGACTCAAACCTAACTCCAAAGTTTGAAGTCCATTTTGGTCCCAAAACTTGTCCAACGACTTAAGATAAAAGTAGAACAAAAATAAAAAAGCCTATTCAAAACTTCCCCCCAGATAAGTTGATACCTAGGGTTAGGTTAGTTGGTCAGTGTGGGTTATGATGGTTATGGTTTTTTTTTGTCAAAGGTGGAGAGTGGGAAGGCCACAATTGCTTCACGCAATTCGCCACGCCCACACAAAATTTGTACCACAATCTCTCCAAATTCCGCATTTTCTTCATCCCTTTGACAAAAGTGCAAAATGTTTTAGTTTTGGTATATAAATTGGATTTTTATTATATGTTCCTTTAAATGCCCTTATGAATGGAATTTTTTTAGGGGATTTGCGGATTTAATTCCTTAAATAATCAGTTGCATAAAACATTAAAGAAAATAAATATGGAAAAAGATTGAAACTAAATAAAACATATAGTACATATGCATAATTGCATGTCGCTGGTTTTAGATTAGGATGTCTCAATTATTATGAATTCATGATTGCAGTGATAGCTGTACCATAACTAAAATTAATAGAAAAAACCCTTTAACAATTTGTAGAATAAATATGAAAGAAAAAGGCGAATGTTTTTTTTTATTTTTACACCTAATCTCTTATCTAAACTGTGTTCGTTAAAGCAAAAGATGCAATTATTAAAGAAAGTCTCGCCATCTTAAATATTGCCCAGACAAACTTACAAAAAAATAATAAACCACAAGAGGAAAAAGGATAAAAATGATAGAAAAAGTCTCTAACTAATGAAGATGCATATGCATATGCATGAATGATCTATTCATCATCAATGCTAGCTGACATTATCCATGGATTCTATATGTTATAAAAATCACTGGACCAAAAACTTTGGTAGTTTGGATTGATTAATTGCAATATCATAGTGATATTATGGACAATGTTACATATATTAAGATTTGTATCACAACATTATTGAAATAGATTAGTATCAAATAATTGAGACCTCTCCTACTCCATTTTCCCCCCTTAAAAGCTAATGATGGGAAGCTTTCTTGAAGACTTAAAACTTCAATGGTCACTAATTTGTACATTGATTAGATTTTTTAATAAGAAATTGCATATGATCTCAGTTTTGAAGTTTTTTTTTTTTTTTTTTTTTTTTTTTTAATATTTGAGGGTATTAGAATTTAAATCTTGATTACTTAAACTCAATTTTAAAATTATTTTTAAATTAATTGCATCATATTTTTGTAGGTCGGTGTTGAGTTGGAACCTATTGATGCTGACCAAATTGTCGTGATACATGGGCAATTTAAGGTACTTCTTCCTGAGTTATGGACTTTCCCAACACGTCAAAGATTTTAAATCTCTTCTTATTCAAATATAATACTAAGCAATGCATAAGTTCTAAAATAAATTATTGACATTAGAATTAAGCATTACACTAATTAACATCAAGTCCTTTTCGGGAATTTGCTAGATAGGAAATTAGGAAGGTGATTCATGCCTCCAAAGTTAAAGTATTAGTACCAGCACTGAGCAAAATATTGAAACAACCCTCTCCTGCTCTCCTTCAACCCAACTTCCTACCAACGCAAACATCAAAATAACTAGTGTTTATATAAAGCACTTCCTCTATATTCCCTCTGTTTCATCAAGATTCAAAAACCCGATCTCTCTTTTCTTTCTTTCCATGGTTTCCTCTTCTTCCTCAAGCAAAACCATGAAGAAATCTACGGCACTAGCTGATGCAGCGTCGTGGTACTGTGCCGTAGCCTTATTGGCCTTGATATTGATAAGTTCCATCAAGGCAAATTCTGTATCAGATGAACCTGTGAGAGGGAGTCAGCTCCTCAACCGACCCTGTGATGAAATCTATGTCGTAGGAGAAGGGGAGACCCTTCACACCATCAGCGACAAGTGCGGCGACCCTTTTATCGTTGAGCGCAACCCTCACATCCATGACCCTGACGATGTTTTCCCTGGCCTTATTATCAAGATCATTCCTTCAACTGACAGGAAACTATAGAGGTAGCCATACACACAGGCCAGAAGCTTCTTCAAATTTATACAGGCTTGTATCATAACATCATATATATATTCTCAAACAGGAACAGAAGAAGATTTATACTTTTCTTTTCCGTTTTTCGTAGTCATGGAACAGGGGATGAACAGTTGAATAGCAAAGCCTTTGTAATAAGTTCAAGGCTCAATATTGGCGCTTTGAAATTATAGAGAGAAATGGTCTTCCTAAATATAGGATCATAATATGGAGATTGGATTCTCCAGGAAAAATTTCAGTTCTTCTGTAGTTACTTTTGTCCTAATTTCAGCTTTCTTTTATGTCCTATATCTAGTTTTGGTTCACCTTCCTTTTTGGTTCTTGATGATTGATCAAGAGGAAAGATCTTTTGAGATTATAATATATCCTAAAAACACTGTATCCATCAAGTACCTGCCGATCCTATTGTGGGATTCAGAGGTTGTGAACATAGTATTTCTTTCTGTCTATTCACTTGGAATAGCAGATTTCTATTCCGTCTTGTGAATATCTTTCTGTTAATTCTCGGCCTCCTTCAAGGCTGCCAGAAAAAGTACTGTTAAATTGCCGGTTTGATACGACAAAAGCCATCGGCTTTTTGTCAACGGAAGAAAAGTCTTACACTATTTAATCTGGTGATGACAAAAACAGAGTAGGCTGCGAATTCGAACTTTGTATTTGCTTTTATGCACACGTGGTGTTTATCTTTTATTTTTCAAGTGGTTTACATTTTTTTGTGAATAATAATATTGACCAAGTAAATTTGATGTTGCATTGATCTTTCTCGAAGAAGTGAGAAAATTGTGACAAATAGAATCTGCTTGTAAAAACCTGCTGGAACATGTGATCTGATTCAAACCTCAATTTCTAAGCATATAAGGACCTCCTGGAGTACATCTTTGAACCTTAATTAACAATTGATAATCTAATTTTAGGAACTTGAAGAAAGAACCAGTTTTCTCCTGCCATATGCCCATGTCTTTGAATCCTAGGAAATTTCCACAGGCTAGACTTGTTGACTGGGCTGCAGCTCTTGAGTTTTGAGGCAATTGGTTTGACTGACTCAGCAATCCCATATAATCAATCAGGTCAAACATCCCCCTTTTCTTCCTTCCCATAATTCCTTGCAAAGTTTTCATTTACTATGTTTTCAATTTTATTCTCAGCCCACATCCTAATGATTTCTCTTTAATAAAAAAGTAGACTTGATTAAGGGTGGACTAAAAGTACTCCTTGAGATTTAAAAAGTGATATTTAATTACTTTATAAATTATTTTATTATACTTTTATCTAAAATCGTTATTTTTTCTGTTAGTTTTTATTTTTATCCTTCTTCTTCATCGTTAATTCATTTTCTTTCTCTAAAACCAGACAAATTCTTTCTCTCTAATATCAGACAAATGAACTTCTCCATCCATCTTGATAGGAAATCATTGTTTATCCAGGTGCTTAAAAGTTTATTTAATCAATTTCATCTCCTAGAGGCGGCGACATTATTTAATCTATTACCATTCTTATGGTGCATGCAAGATGAGAAGCTTTTGGACTCTGTAAATCAATTTGGAGAAGAAAAAAAGAAAATGATAGAATGTAATCCAACTTTTGGAATGCCTGCATGCAAGCATATATTTGTGTTGTTTTTCTCCCACTAAATTTCTATATACACATCTGATTTAATATTCTATTTTTACTATAATGATAATTGGTACAATATCTCTCACAATTGGGAAGAAAAGTTTTGCCAACTGTTGATTTAGTGTCCTGCACCACCCGTTACACCCCAGGATTTAACTGTGGTTGTACTAAATTGTTTTTGGAGAAAAAGCGGTTTTGAATTGTAGGAGATAAAGAGAATCCTTATTTTGCAAATGGTTGCTTCTGCAAAAGTTCTCACCCCTGAGAATCATACTCAAAATGGAGAGTGGACACCTGTTTTACCTCATGGGGGTAGATAAAGAAGGAATTCCCAAAAAATAACAACAGCAAAGGGACAACAACAGGAACAAAACCCATGAGTTCCAACCGATCATGAAATTGATCTTGGGAGGCAATCAAAACTTATGCACAAGATACAAATCTGTACGAAGAGAATTGAAAACTCTAGTTTTTTTTCTGACCTTCTCGGATCAAATGGAAAGTCAAGAAGTCTTGGATCATTTTCACAGGGTTTTGGGATTTGATTTAAAACTGCAGATGGTGATATATGATATTGGTAGCATTGAGTCTCATGAAACTCCTTGACTTCAACTTAGCCTTGCAGCTTTGATGAAAAGAAAATTCAGTTGGATTTCATATCAAGATGGATGGAGAATTTCATTTGTCTGATTTTGGATAAAGAGAATTTGCCTGGCTCTAAAAAGAGAAGAAGAAAAAGTAAAAAAAAAAAAAAAAACCTAATAGTTTTAGGTAAAAATACAATAAAACAAATCATAATGTAATTAAATGTCATTTTTTAAATTTCAAGGAACATTTTCAATTCACCCAGAGTATATTTTTAAAATTTACCCTAATAAAAATTAAATCTATTAATGTATGTATTTGAGTAATATCTATTTTGTATTAAACATATATAAAATATAAAACTTTTTATATCCAAATTTATATAACATATTAAATACAAAATATATTTTATATTTTTATTAAATTTATACACGATTTTCAACAAAATTTTAAATCATATTATTATTTTTATATTATATCATTATATCATACTTAAAATTATCAAATATAATAAAAATATAATAGATCTCAATTGATAAAGTGGTTGATGGTGGATTCTTTTCTCGTATCCAATTTGCCAGCAATATATATGGTAAGTTTAAAGCCTAAATGAGTATGATAACATCTACGGAGACAATGCTGAAAATTCCATCATTTTGCTTAAAGTTGAATATGACTGGCCTCATCATTAATAGAATACTGCCCTCACTTCTCACTCATCTTCCATTTATTTCCTTGTATATAATAAAATTTTCAACTTTAAAATTACAAGGGTTCAATATTACAAATTGTGAATTTTTTTAACATTTAAAAACTATAAGAATATAATTAGTGTAATTTCAAAATTTTAGACTCTTCTCCTCATGATATTTTAAAGTCCATAGTCATCTTAAACGGACTCGTTGCAAAAATTTTCCCCCGGAGCTCAAAGTGATTGATTGAGAAAATAATAAGACATGGCTAATGAAATGGTAGGACCGTAAAGAAACCGAAAATAAATGAATAAATAAATAAATAAATAAATATATTTGTAATTTATTTATTTATTTTTAGAGGTATTTAGATTCAACTTGTATTTAATAAAAAAATTATTTTATTCGTTGGAGCTTTGTTCGTTTAAATGAAATGATATTTACATTTAATTTGTATTTTGTTTGATTAAATTAAATGAATTCATTTGTAAATATAAAATGAATATGTTCACGAATATATATAAATGAATATATTTATGAATAATAAACAAATTGTAACTAAATAAATTTAAATAAATAAACTCTAAACAAATATAAAATGAATCAAAATGAACAGAAATAAACTTTAAAATAAGATTGAAATAAAAAAATAAAAATATAATTTTGCTATTATTATTATAAACAAATAGTAAATAAATAATAAACAAATAAATTTTAAACGAGTTTGTTTGTGGATATAAATAAATCAAATAGATCTCTATTTATATTTAATTTGTTTAATAAACAAAAATAAAAATACTAATTAAGATTATTTGTTAAAATTAATAAACAAATATATCTAAATAAAAATCAAATATATTTACAAATAATTCATCCAAATCTTTATTCATTTACACCCCTATGAAAAAGTATTTGAACGATACATTCATCTTGGGTATCCTACAAACTTTTCAAGCCCAATTTCCAGTATGGGCTGTGACGATTTTAAAAAATAAGAGACTTCCTAGTTATGCAGTTATAAATCAAACTTATTTTTCGTAATGTATTTACTATTTAATAGTATATAAATATTATATATTATTAGTGAATAATATAATAATATTTTATAAAAAATCAATTTTAAAATTTTTAAAAATAATTACATTTAATGCTAAATTATTATTTACACTCATTTTTCTATGAAGTTTCATTAAATGATTTACTGATTGTATATAATATTTATATATTGACCATACATTAAATATAAATAATTAAGTTAATGAGAAACTGAATTCACTTAAATAAAATACTTACTCTACTATGGTAGTTGGATCAAATTCAAGAATCAAGACCAAGAACTGATGAGGTGATTTTCTGGGCATTCTTAAGTCTTAACAAAGGACTCCAAGAACGAGATCAATTGTATCAGCGGGTGCAATTACTAATGTTGGTCAGCCGGTGTTGGGCCCGCCCATCAAGTTAATACAATGGGCGTCATACTGTGATGGGATGGTGGGCCAAGGATGGCTCATAATCCATCGAATAGCTTCTACATTCATTCTCCTCGGCCCGCTTGGCTGTGACTCGTTTAGGGTATCAGCCGATTTGGTAGCTAATATAGAATCAACCTCTGGGTTTAATTATGGCTCTTCTTTCGCTCAAAACCCTTTTAATGACTTTGCCAGTACTCTCATGAATAAGGTTTTCACTCTTTACCCATTGCACCACTTGGCTCTCTTGTGTTCAAAACTACATTTGAATTTGAACAATTTGGACTTTAAAAAAAAAAGAAGTATCTCATTTCTTAAAATTTTAATAGATTTAAATTAAAAGTCTTATATAAATATATATATATATATATTTCCCAGGAAGCCAAAAGATAATGCTTCGATAATGCATATGCTTACTGTTATAGTTTAAATTATGTGAAACAAAAGATTATGTACAATTCCAGAAGATCTTCCTACCTAAAAAAAATAAAAAGGTGAGGGAAGTAAATGAAGGAAAAAATTTAATTTATAAAAAGTGAGTATTATATTTATATATCTGCGAAAAAATTTCATTTTTCATTAATTACTTCAAGTGTCGATGCATGCCGATGTTGATAAGATCAAGTTGTAGATTTGATATAGTAATAATTGATGGCACACATGGTGCGCATAATTTACAAGGAACGGCATTGAATGGGGCATTAGTTGACTGACGATGTCCATGTGCTATCTATGATCAAGACAAGAGGACGTAGGAATTCATCAAAGCATTAATTAAACCAACCTCAAACATGCAGTGCTTCAAGAAAATGACCTATGTATGAAGGGTTTGAGGGTATTTAGAGGAGACTAATTGGAGTTTTAGTTTTGCAGTCGTCCTTGAGCTCTTTGAAAGTATAGTTAGGAAATACTAAATGGATCATTTGGGATCATGGCGGTTTCTCAAGGTTTTCCTTCCTGCTGTTTTTGCTTTGCACCATTTTTGCCACGCCGAGACAGGTATAAGAAGACTCTTTTTCCTTCATTCATATACTTTGATATTATTATTCCTATCCCTATTGATATTATTATCTTATGCATCAATCCAACGGTTGAATTGGATAAAAAAAAAATCACGACATGTTAAATTCATAACTGATTTCCTTATTTATAATTGAATAATAAACATAGTATGTTTCTATAATATACTTGTAAAATTTTTAAATTTCGCTACGGATTCATTATTATATTACAATTTTGCTTACATAACAAAAGAAATAAAAAATTTTATTATTTTATGTGATAGTATTTTGGTTATATGATCAAATAAAACAAAATTTAATTATTTATATGTATGACAAGATGGAATTTAAAAATTTTACAAATGAAATTGGAAGATTATTACATGTTTATTTAGTTGTTATATTAATTTATAATTTTATATATAATAAACTAATAAATACATGAGAAATTTTATTTGTAAAATCAAAAACTTAATCCGAGTGTATAGGATATAAATAACCTCTCTTATAAATTAATGGAAACAAACAATAGTTAGTAAACACATAAAAGAAAAATCTCTATTATTTCGCAGCTCCATATTACAGTTTTGTTCAAGAAGCAACCTCAGCTCCTCTAGTCTCGTACTACGACTACATAATCGTTGGTGGAGGAACCGCCGGCTGTCCCTTGGCTGCAACCCTGTCGGAAAGCGCAAACGTTTTAATTCTGGAAAGAGGAGGGTCTCCCTATCTCGACCCTATCAATAAGACAGACAAAGAAAACTTCTTCCTTCCTCTTTTAGACCCCTCTCCTCATTCATATGCTCAAGCATTCGTTTCGGAGGACGGAGTCTACAACCACCAAGCCCGTGTTCTTGGCGGTGCCTCAGTCTTTAACGCAGGGTTTTACTCGCATGCTGAAACCGATTTCATTAAGGAAGCTGGTTTGGATGGATCTTTAGTAAATGATTCTTACTTGTGGGTTGAGAAAAAGGTGGCATTCAAGTCACCTGTGTTGCAATGGCAATCCGCAGTGAGGGATGGGTTGCTTGAAGCTGGGGTTTTGCCGTTCAACGGATTTACGTATGGCCACATCAACGGGACTAAAATTGGTGCATCCATTTTTGACATGGATGGTCATAGACATAGTGCAGCAGACTTGCTCGAGTACGCTGACCCAATGAAGATCAAGATTTACTTGCATGCCACGGTGCCCAAGATCATGCTTATAACAGAAAGTAATGTCTCTTTAGCTATCGACTAATTTTTGCATCTCGAGGGTACATATATATATAATTTAGTATTAATTTTAAACTAAATTTAAAAATATAAAAAAAATTTATATTTAAATATTAAATTTAAGTTAAACAAATTTAAATTGACTTTCAAGAGTAGAAGGATTCTAGCCAAAATTTTAAGTGTTATAGGACCTGAAGACTGGTTTGGCTAGTTACACATTTATTATTTTTAAAATTTATATTTAATATATTATCAGCATATAAATTTTATATATTATTAATAAATCAGATGATATTATTTTATTAGTAAAGTGAATCAAATAATATCATCTTTTTAATGAATTTTTTTTAAAAAATATTGATTTTAATTTATTTTAGGGTTAATATTTGTTTATTAATAAAGTGATATTATTTGATTTACTTATAATATATAACATTTATACTCTAATAATACATCAAATATGAATTCTATTTTTCTATGATGTATCAATCTTGATTGTTTACAAAGATTATTTTGCAATCCATATGTTAAAAGGCATTTCTTTGTTTCATATTATTATAATATATAATTCCTTCATTTTCAAATAAAATATAGTATAAGCTTGGATGTGTTAAAATAATTATTAACTTTTAGCAGTTGGATCACGACCAAGAGCTGAAGGGGTGATTTTTGAAGATGCATTGGGAGTAAGGCATACGGCATTCTTGACGAAAGACTCCGAGAGCGAAATAATCTTATCAGCAGGTACCATTGGAAGCACACAGTTATTGATGCTGAGCGGTATTGGGCCTGCCCATCAACTTGAGGCACTCGGCATCCAGGTGGTGATGAACCAACCCATGGTTGGCCAAGGGATGGCCGACAATCCATTGAACGGTCTTTTTATTCCTTCTCCTCTGCCCGTTGAGGTTTCACTTGTTTCGCTTGTGGGCATAACCCAGTTTGGTAGCTATATTGAAGCAGGCAGTGGATTGAATTTGGCTCCTTCTTTGGTTCAGTGGATTTCAAAAAGCTTGGTCACTATTCTAAATCAGGTTTTAACCCCTTAATTTCCCTGCTCTTTCATGGCCGCATATGTGATTTTTTTTTTTCTTTTTTGTTTTAAGTATACAACGCACCAGATTGTTTAACATTTGTCGTGGTTGCATGCGTAGACCGAAGCAAAGGTTAATAGTAGCTCCCTCCTCGGTGCAAGACTCAAAGTTGGCATCATTATTGAGAAAGTTAATGGTCCCATCTCAACAGGTCATTTGGAGCTTCAGAGCACAAATCCAAATGACATGCCGAAGGTCATGTTTAATTACTTCCAAGCACCAGAGGACTTGAGAAAGTGTGTGCAAGGCATGGAAACCTTAATAAACGTTGTAAATTCCAAGGCTTTCTCAAAATTTCGATATCCAACAATCTCAACACAAGATCTTCTGAATTTGGTGGCGACGCTTCCCTTGAACCTGAGACCAAGACATCTTAATACAGCTACCTCTTTGGAACAGTACTGCCTAGACACTGTCATGACCATTTGGCATTATCATGGAGGCTGCCATGTCGGAAAGGTTGTCGATCAAGATTTCAGGGTCCTTGGCGTGGATGACCTGAGGGTTATAGATTCTTCTACGTTTAATTTCTCACCCGGAACTAATCCTCAAGCTACGGTTATGATGCTTGGAAGGTAATGATAGTGCTATCCTTTCCTTTTTGTATGCTTCGCCATTCTAAATATATGGCCATGGTACAAAAATTTATATCACTCTTTTCCTATTAATTTTTGATGCAGATATATGGGAATAAAAATTCAGCAAGATAGACATTCCTAGAGAAGGAAGTTGAAGTCCATCCCATGTCATATCATAGCATCATATTGGGGAAAATCAATGAAGGAAATTCCCATATCTTAGCAAAATAAAAACGTTTGCGTACTGGACTGTTGGTATTGATATATATATACATATTTATATTAATAGATATTATAATAACAGCCTAATATTGACTATTAATATTGTGTCTAATAAAAGAGGGAGATGAATCTTGAATACATATTACAACAAATTGAATTTTTGTGTCAGCGAAGACAGGCACATCCACCGGTAACACAGCTACTTTTGCTATTGCTATCAGACCCGAATCATAATCTAAAAATAAAAATTAATTGGTATGATCAGGATCTGATAATTATTCACTAAAAATTGAATATTAAGAAATTGAATCACTTAATTTTGATTTGTCAGATCTATATATCCGTCCATTAGTTTTTTTTTTTTTTGATAAATTTTAAGTAATATCATGTGATTTGAGAAGAAAAAAATTTTAATATTTAAAAAGTAATTCTTCATCAATTTTTTTAGTGACAAATTAATGCTGTTAACTATTCATCCTATTCTCTACCACTTATTTTGTATTTTTTTTTTATTTTTCCCTTTCAGTTTTTTTATTTTCTGGAGGGTCTGAAATATCTCTTTCTCTCTCTCTAAATTCATAATTTGATTTATGATTTCTTTTTTAATCCTCAAATTAAGGGCGCTGGGAAAAAAAGAGCAGAAAATCTTTTCCTGACAATGGGCAATGAAAATTTCATCCGAACCTACCTAGCTCAGCACTTGTATAACTTGAATCCATCAATGGTTCCACACCACCTTTCTCTTCATTTCTTTAAGAAGGCCTCTCAATTGGTGAAACCCCACACCACCCAGCTTCGCTAATTGCTCCATAATAATATCTCCAACTACTTGTGATTAAAAAAGTTAATCCTCTCATGCTATAATAATGATGCTTGTACAAAGGTAATGATAGTATATTAATGTTTTTTTTTTTTCTTTTTTCCTTTTGGGTATGCCTTGGCATTCTAAATACCTATTATACAACAACTCATGGGAGTAAGAATTTTGCAAGAAATTTAGCACATTGAGCCTATATATTATAGTGCATTTTTATATTTCAATAGGAAAAAATTTTACTTGTGACAAATAAATGATAAAATCACTTAAAGGGTGTTTGGTTTGAAGGAATTCAAAATTTTTTTTTTCAAAATTTTGATAGTAGATATCTGTTTCCTATGTTTGGTTTAAGGTTATCTGATTCTTAAGAAAATATTAGATTCTCAATAGTACTCAAAATCATAGAATTAGAAACTCATATTTTCCTATGATATTTTATGATTCATGATGAAAAATTGCTTGAGTTTCATATTTGACTTGAATAAAAAATTTCTTCTATTTATATTACTTTTTTGAAAAGCAAGTCTAATAATGAAATTAAAATTTTTTTAAAGTCAATCACATTGTTTGTAATGAACAAAACGTAGTAATTATTATTATTACTATTTTGTAATTCCATATATCTATTATTGCATTTTTTCAAAATATATGCAATAATTGTCAGAAAGTGTGGCATTTGTGCAATGGCTATTGCTGTGTTTTTTTTTTTTTTTTTGTATAAATGCAGTAATTTGTAATCAATTACTGCATTTATTTGTTAAAATGCAATAATTGATTGAATGGTTTATTTCATTTTTTGTAATTAGAATTATTTTTTTTTTACGTAGTGCTTTCTTGTTATTAATTACTGTATTTATTTGAAAATAAATGCAGTAATTAAGCAATTTATAATTTTTTTTCTTGAAATTTGTGTTTCTGACATTACGAACGTTGTAATATCTAATCATATTCAGAAGAACATATTTTTATTAACTACTACAACATTTCTACATAAAAAATGCCGTAATTGATGTCTTCGTCATATTTCAATAACAAAAATCACTTTCTAATTTTAATTTCAACATAGTAGAGCTCTAAGCAAATACTTTTATGTTTCAACCAACATCAGTTTTAACATTTATCATTTAATTTTTGTGTTATTTAGTTTATTTGCATTTTTTTTGAATAAATGGTGTATCTACTATCTGTTGCCTAATTATTTGTTCTATATTATTTGTTGCATTCAAATTTTTTTCTAATTTTTTTAGATCTCGTTTAGATCTTGATTGAAAATATATTGATATATCAAATGTGTTATTCATTTTGGTTTTAGCTCTTTCATCCACAAATGTTTTGTTGTTGGTTTATGTTTTGGTTTATGATGTATGATAGATTCCATCTACCATATGCAAAGATTTGCTTTCCACTTATGTTTTTAACATTAATGAGAAATTTTCTTTTAAACAGTTTTGACTTGTATATCACTAAGAAAAAAAATACAATTAGTTATAGTGCTTATTTTGTATTTGAACCAGATGGAGACTTTATTGTATGTGTTAGTTATTGTTGCTATGACTTTAATTGCAATGAAACTTAGAAAATGAGGTAAAGTATTTTATGGGAAAACTTCTTATGATAGGCTACATATTAGAGAGTTAAACTTAAATGCAATAGTTTTTTAAAGCGATAGACAGTGTGTAGATAATGTTAGAATTGATATGAGAGTTCTTATAAAATTATGACATTTGCTTCAAACAGATGAGACATTACAGGCAACTAGATATATGTCAATAGAAGAGCTAATTATTTGCTTCCTCTACATCATTGCTCATCATACAAAAAATAGGATTATAAAGTGTTAAGTAGCTAGATTTAGGAGACAATTAGTAAATAATTCTATTCTTTGATGAATTATGTTTTGAGACTACATACCTTATTGTTTAAAAAACTCAAATCAATACCAAAAATTTCAACAGATAATAGATGAAAATGAGCTTTAGATGGGACAAACATCAAGATCAATGTAAACACAGTTGATAGGCCTAGAAAAATGAAATTACTACTAATGTCCTTGGTGTTTGCACCTTAGATATGCAATTCATATATGTTTTATCAAGATGAGAAGGTTCTATAGTAGATGGCAGAGTGCTAAGAGATGTCATTACACAATAATAGGTTAAGGATCCCATAAAATATTAGCTTTACTATTTTAGTTTAGTTTATAATAGAACACTTCTTTTTTTTTTTTATTAATGTTCTTCCACTATAATAGGTAATTACCTATTTGTGTGATGTCAGATACACAAATAGGAAAGATTTTTTGGCATTATAAAGGTTAAAGGTACCATCTTAATTATTGGAGGCCAGGACTTCATTTGATGACCCCCCATGAATACTTCAATATGGAACACTCTAAAATAATAAATTGTATCGAGAGATGTTTTGGTATATTGAAAGCTAGATGGGTAATTTTAAGGGATAAGTCATTTTATTCAATAAGGATACAGTGTAAAATCATTTTTACTTGTTACCTTATCTATAATTTTATTAGGTCTAAAATGATAATTGACCTTATTGAAAGTGATGTTGCTAAAATAAGTAGTAGCCAACTCGATGGATTTGAACGTCAAGATTTGATTACGCATATTAACCTAAATAATTCTTGAACTCAGTTTAAAGACAATCTAGCGTATGAGGTATTCACAAATTGGTAGCAATCCCGAAGATAAAGATATTATAGATTTTTTAAATTTCTTATCATGTTTACTTGGTTTAATTGATTTTTATACCATATGGATGAGTGTACAATTTGTTTTCTACCTTTGTTGAATATATATTTATTTGATTTTTTTTTCTTGTTGAGTGTGTAATGTATACGACAATTGTTTTCAATAATCTTTGTTTTCTTTCCATGTCTATTGGTTTACTTCATGCCTTAATACAAACATTTTACTCTTATTTGGTTTTTGATTTACTATATTAATATTGTTGTATGATGTCTAGCCATGTTATTAGGAAATCAACATGCCTTCATCTCATGCCAATCCTCTTTAATCTGTAAGAGGCCCATCCAAAAGAAAAATAAAAAGCTCGAGGGTATGTAATCATTCATGGACAAAGGATGATGATTCATATCTCATTCAATACCTACATACATTAACATATGATCCTATATGAAAAGTGGATAATGAAGCATTTCATGTTGGATATCTAAGGTATCTTGAAAGGATGCTGGAGTGACTTATTTTAAATTTGCAACTTAAAACCACCTCCATATCGAGTCAAGGGTTAAGCTACTAAATAGAGAATATCATGTTGTTTGTGATATGAAAAATATAAGTGAAATTGGGTGGAATGATCAAGACAAATGTATCACTGTTGAGAAACCAATTTTTGATGAGTAGGTTCGGGTAAATTGTTTAAGATTAAACTATTGCTTAACTTACTTATTTTATCTTTTTTTATATTCATTATGATTGATTTGTATTTACATTAACTTTTATGTAGATTCATTCTCATGTAAAAGCTTAAGGAACAAACATTTCTTTTTCTTTGATGATTTTAAAGTGATTTTTGGAACTGACAAAGTAACAGGTTAGAGAGCTAAAACAACAATCGATGTTGTTGAAACTATGAATGCTATTGAGGATGCTTACTTTTCTCCAGAGTTTGATCCCTATCATGAAGGAAATATGAAAAGAGTAGACGATGAAATAGAAATTGATAGAGTGTTGATTAGTTTTGGTTATCCAAAATTTGATATTCTAAAATACTATACATACTACAAAATACTAAACACACTAGGAAGAAGAAAAAAAAGTCTTAATCATCAAGATTCAATTTAGACAATGCATTTGCACATAAAGATCTATATTTAATTATTTATTATTTTTGGAGTCAAAATATTCAAATGTTTTGTAACATGTCCAATTATTGTAGGAATCATGAATCTGGCCAAGCAAGCACTAACATTGGAAATCAATCTTGCTAATCAAGCACCACAATTGAACAAGTAAGACATTTCATCAAACTATTCATTGATTAAATTTATCTACACAAATTAAAAAATGACAGTTCATTGCTTGAAAAAATGACTTACCAGAGTTAAGGTAGGTGATGGTGGTGACAATTTAGAAACGGTAATGACGACGGACACCCAACCATGAGGGTGGTTGTTTAATGGAATAGGGGT